GACGGTCGTTGTCAGGGCTTCGGCAAATTTCAACTCCAGACGCATGTTACTACGCTTGACCAGGTTGAAATGAGACCCGCTCGACAAGTGCGGAGACAGATCAAAAGCAAAGAGGGAGTATTCCGACTCGTAGTCTTCCCTGTTGATCTGATTGCCCTTGTCTCCAAACAGGGTATTTATACCGGAATACGAAGTCTGATAGGACATCATGTACACTTCGTCTTTGCCGGAAAACTTGGGTTGAAGAGGTCGCCACGGCGTCTGTTAGTTATCCACGTACAGCCCCAGGTAATTTAGACCGTAATGTTTAAAGTTGTAGGGGTTTTTATGATAGTCGCCGTTGAAGGCCGCGTGCCGGGGGATCTGCCCCAGAAACAGATTTTAGCGGGTAAAAGATTGATTTCCTAGCGGAATAGAAAACGTTTTGACCTCCACTCTGCGCAGCGGGTATTTGGCCGTAGCACTCTGTAGGGTTTTGGCGTGCGCTAGAGCCAAGGTGGGACTGACAACCACCTTTCTCAGGTGAGTGTCCGGTAAAGCTGCCATTAAACAGAAACTGTTTTTGCTGCGATGAAACTTGAGCTTCAGGTAGACGCCGTTCAGTAAAAACCTATCTTGAAAAAATATGTCTCCGTGAATCGGTCCCAACATATCGATAATACGGCTCTCCGACAGTTTGTATCTGCGGGTGCGGGTGCGGGGCTGTGTGGCGGAGGGCTGACCGGTGCTGGTGGACTGACTGCGGGTGCCGGGCTGAGTGGAGCGGGTGCCGGGCTGGGTGGAGCGGGTGCCGGGCTTGCCGCGGGGGATGGAAAAAACACATCGTCGTCTGCGTATGAAATACAAATACAAATCTGTTTGTATTAAAACATCGCTGGCATTACAGTAACAAAGACGAACAAAATAAACGCACATGTACATCGAACGCTTAAACTTACCGTCATCGGGCGAGGTCAGGTCGATGACTTCCGCCTCCTGTACTCCGATCAATTCGACATATTCCATATCTGTGTGTGACAAGAAATGAAGTGAAGAAAACCAAATGATACAAATCTGTTGTATTAAAACATCGCTGGCATTACAGAGACAGAGACGACAAAATACACGCACATGTACATCGAACGCCGAAACTTACCGTCATCGGGCGAGGTCAGGTCGATGACTTCCGCCTCCTGTACTCCGACCAAATCGGCTTGTTCAATATCTACGTGTGATAAGAAATAAAGCCATAAGAAACTGGAAGGAACGTAGGTAACCGCGAGGTTTATGACAAACGGTCGTACGAGAGTGTGGCATCGATAACGAACGTAACTTACCCATTTCCCAGCTAGCAGCCACGGGGGCCTCCAGTTTCGCCCACTCCTCCTCGGCGTTGAAGTCGGGTCCAAAAAATTTCTGTGCCATGGTGACTAACAAAAATTTGTGCTGAGAAAGCAGAGAGGTGATGCTGTTGAAGCTGATGTCGTTGGTGGTGCTGATGGTGCTGATGGTACTGGTGGTGCTGATGGTGCTGACGGTACTGGTAGTGCTGA